TTGACTAAAACAACACGTACAGTCATTTAATGATAAATGTACATACAGTGAAAAATTGACAAAACAAATAGAAATAACACTGAAAACTATTTACAAAATAAGCTTGTCAGTCGTATCTCCACATAGCTCCCCCCAGAGTGTCCGGAGGTAACACTGGTTTAAGGTTCAAGTTGGACTTCTCCTGGCAGACCTTCAAATCTGCATCGTCTACTTGTAGTTTTGCGATGGTTTCTAGATCGATGTCTTGTTTACGTAACAGGGTATTTACGTCCTTACGTGACAATGCGTCAGCTACGACGTTGGTGTGTCCTTTGACAAATTGGATATCTGTCGTAAACTGGGAGATGTAATCCAGTTGTCGTGCTTCGCGAGGTGAATGTCGGTCGTACGATGTGTGGAATGAGTAACATAAAGGTTTGTGATCGGTCATGATGGTAAAAGTTCGTCCTTGTAGTAAGAAGTTAAAGTGTTTTACGGCTAAGTAGATAGCAAGTAACTCCCGTCCAAAAGTACTATAGCGTTCCTGGGCTGGTGACAGTCTTTTGGAGAAAAACGCTATGGGAGTAGTCATATTGTTTACCTGTTGTTGTAATACTGCCCCGACTGCTTTTTGAGATGCATCGGTACACAGAATTAAGTGGGTTGTGGGGTCAGTATTTATATATTGTAGCATGGTGGCATTAGCTATCATCGACTTTGCTTTCTCGAATGCTGTTTTGGCGTCAGGGGGTAGGTTGAATGTCTGACTCTTCTCTTTCTTCATACCTTTTTTGTCGGTTTTCAACCGATCGGTTAATGGCTGTAATACTTCAGCACAATGTGGTAAGAAGCGGCGATAAAAATTACACATACCGAGGAAACGTCGTAATGACTTCACCGAGGTTGGTTCGGGATAATTGGTAATAGCTTCAACCTTTTCTGGGAGTGGTTTGATGCCTTGAGAGTCAATGTAATGTCCTAAAAACTCTAAGGATGGGACTGCGAATATGCATTTCGAAGGATTGATGACGACGCCATGTTTTTTAAAACGTTCAAAAAGGGTCTGGACATGTTGGATATGCTCTTCTAAAGATGAGCTTGCAATGAGAACATCGTCGATGTAGGCAAATACGAAGTCTAAACCTCTTGTGACCTCATCCATGAATCGTTGAAATGTCTGCGCAGCGTTTTTCAATCCGAATGGCATCCTTAGAAACTCAAACAAACCAAAAGGTGTTATTATGGCTGTTTTCTCAATGTCTTCCGGTGCCATTGGAATTTGATGGTATGCACCCACGAGGTCGAGTTTAGAGAAGATGCATTTACCATGTAAATTTAACGCGAAGTCATGTATATGTGGAATAGGATACCTATCCGGGATGGTTTGGTTGTTTAATCGTCGATAGTCACCACACGGACGCCAATCTTGGTCCTTCTTAGGTACCATGTGTAACGGCGAGGCCCAGGGGCTGTTGGATGGTCTGATAATTCCAAGTTGCATCATGTGTTCGAATTCTCTTTTAGCAACTTGCAACTTGCTTGGTGGTAATCTCCTCGCCCTGGCGCTAATAGGTGGTCCGGTGGTAGTGATATGGTGTTGTACCAGCTGTGGGTTACCTTCCTTTTGGTAATCTGGTTTCGTAATACACTGGTATTCTGTTAGAATGTCGTTGAAGATATTGTTCACAGGTTTCATTATACGAACACCATGGATCTCGTTGTCGTTGGAGAGTGTACAGTTCACCTGTAAACGTGTGTTTATGTCGACTAATCTCTTGTTAGTCATATCAACTAAAAGGTTGTACGCACTAAGAAAATCGGCTCCGAGAATGGGTCGTTTGACTTCAGCAACTATGAATACCCATGTGAATCTTCTACGGAGCCCGAGATCTAATATAAGAGATTGTTCTCCATAAGTTTTGATAACTGATTCGTTAGCCGCTACCAAGGACAATTTAGTGCTTATCGCATGTTGTCTGCGTGAGAGATAAAGTGGGATGATGCTGATTTCTGCTCCCGTATCGACTAAAAAGTCTGAGCCAGAAATACGATCCCTGATGTGGAAAAGGCGGCTGACATGTTGGCCAGTAACAGCTGCCGCTATTACTGCCTGGCCACTTCGTTTCCCTGATGGTCTGACTTGCTTGTAGTGAAGTTGCACGGTTTTGTGCAACGACGTGCTTTCTCGCCATAATTCGAATGATACCAACACATCCCAGCTGCCCGCTTAGGTGACCTATGACGATGTCTGGATAATGATCTCCTTCTGGACCTAGATCTGGGGCATCGAGAACGGATGGTGGAGATAGTCGCCTGCAGTGATGCTAGCTGACGTGTTAAGTGTGCAATTTGATGCTGCATGTCAAGAGTAGGGTTCATAGCATCTTTACTGGCGGGTTGTACTGCGTAAATTCCCCGACTATCGGGATATATTTCTATCATCCTATCGGCCATGTCTCCTAAATCATCAAGACTGACAGAGGCTCCTGATACGCTGAGAATTTGTCTGACGCTATAAGGTAACCTTTGTAACCACATCTGCTTAAGTAATGCTTCGTCTAACTTGCATGAACCTGCTAGTTGTCTCATATGTCTAAGCAACTGTGAAGGTCTTTTGTCACCTAACTCGCATGCGGTGAGTAGTTGCTGTAAGCGTTTTTCTTCAGACTGCGAAGTACGGTGGATTACTGCGGCTTTTATTTTGTCATAGGGGTCTGTTTCTGGTACGTTATCTATTAGGTCTCCGACTTCTGCTGCCACCTCTATGGGTAATGCTCCGACAATGTATGCATATTTTGTCGCTTGCGAGCGTATACCTCTCGACAAAAATAATGCCTCAACCTGTGCAAACCAGATCCTGGGATTATTAACACCATACGTTGGTAATCTTAGTTCCGAGATAGCGTTGATTGAGTGTAAAACATTATCCTCTGGTTGTGGAGAGTTTAGAAGGTTGGTCGGAGAACTATCAATATCAATAAGTTTACCCGGAGAGTTCATAATGACAAAAACAAAAATATAGTGTCGTGCCGATTAATAATAATAAAAAAATTATGTAGATATATATAGTAAATGTCTATAAAAAAAATAATCGAGGCTCACCAAATAATTGTGGTGGACCAGACAAATATGAACGCAAAAAGTATAAACAAAGTTACTAAAGATCAATAGAAATATTAATATATACAGTTAATTGTTACAAATACAATTAAAATTAGGGACGTTACTTAAATTGACCAAACGCTGCGTGTTCTGATTATGTCCGGTAATGTACATCCACAATTATAAATGTTTGATAATTCCAAGCAGGTTGGCGAACTCTCTGGTGATATAATCCCACGTAGAATGTGATGTATTCCAATTACAGTCTATAAATAATGATAATATTTGATTTAGAATTCAGCTAATTCAATCACAAATGGAAATAGAACGAGGGATGTGTGAGTAGTGATGTATTTGTTAGCCAGTAAGTATATGTCACGCTATGTTCGAATTACAGCGGAAAAAGTCTTCAAGGTCATTGACTAAAACAACACGTACAGTCATTTAATGATAAATGTACATACAGTGAAAAATTGACAAAACAAATAGAAATAACACTGAAAACTATTTACAAAATAAGCTTGTCAGTCGTATCTCCACATAATTAACAGTGTTAGGTGTCTGATTGGGCCTAGAAAGTCTTGCAGACTGAATATGAAGATATGGCTGTAGTTAATAGTTACAGTAACGAAAGGGAAAAGTACTGAGGGTTTTTGAAGTCGCATTAAACAACAGAGCATGGAAATATCACACAATAGTAAAGTGATGACCATAAACGAACGAAACATCATCTTCTGTACCTGCATAGAAAATAAAATTGTGGGACAAGTGGAGCAGAAAGAACATACTGAAAACCTCTTCAGGGCATTTTATTAGGCAGTATAGTCATTTACTTGTTTCTTCTGTCTTTTATTCTAATCAATATTCAGATCTCTTTTAGCCACACTTTACGATCTTCAGTCTTTCTTGAATGAGCTTTCCTTATTTGGCTTTGTTTAAAGACGTCTTTTGTTGCATAATTTTGAAACGCTTGGTGGAAAATCACTTTCAAATGATTATCATACCGAGAAAATTTGATGGATGTAACCCCAAATTGTAAAGAGTAAAATATATACATAAATGTGATAATATCAATTACGATATATTGTTTGCCACACTGAAAAATGAATCATACATTTTAGAAACAATCACACATTAAACCCGACTGAATTAATAAGCCCGGAGTACAAATGTTTATGTAAAGGTCAATGTATCCCAAAAATAAATAGTCCTGCAAGTCTTCGTACTCGATGTTGACCTCATCAGTCTTACTGGGTGCAACCTAGCTGAGGTAGCTTGGCACCGCATCGGCACCAAACACCATATAGTATGTCTTGCAACGCACCTCTCACGATAGCTAGCCAGTTCAGATTACACACTCCTTGACATGCCGACTATCTTTCAAATATTTTTTTCAAAATTCCTCATTCCCGACTTATGATCTGGCTGCATAGTTCACAAGCTTATTACTGACAAAAGAGTTTTCAAAACTTGAATATCAGTGACATATATACGCTTTTGAGTTTTATACCGAAATATGCAAAAAAGGACATCATAAACAAACATTCAAGCAAATTTTGCGTCCCAGTGATTTTTTTTACTTCTATGAGTGTCTCTTCATCAGAAGCAACAACCGGTTCACAAACTGGTTTGACTAAAAGTAGCATCTTGAATCTATCAGATGGAGACTATGCTTTTTATAATTTTAAAACTTTTCATCCAAAATATAGTGAAATGCAACGGTTATTTAAACACATTCTAAGGGAAGTTTGGAGCCTTTGACGTGACCACTATTTAGTAAATTGAACTATGAATTCACGTTGTCCTTGAGTCCTGCAATTATTTTTATTATTACGCTGTTACTGCGTACTCAGAAAACAAACTAAATTTCCTTATATCATACAACAACAAAAGGCGCCTACCCGTCTTAAGACGACAACATGTTCCTTTCAGAGAGGAAGGCTAGTCATTCCCGTGATACTCAAGGAAATATTGTTGGTATAGACTTTTCGGGGGATGATGGTTCAGATTCTACATCCAAAGAATGGGTTTATACAAGATGGGCCAAGTAATATGTGTTTATTTATCATAAATCTAATTTATATCATCTGATTTGATTATTTAATCGAATTTAAGTCTCTAATGGACCAGAATTTAGCCTAAGCTGACTGGTAATACAGGTACTTATTTAGTATGTGGTCACTGACGTGAGCGGCTCAAAATCACATGAATTATGTTGAGATGCAGAATGATGAACAGAGACAATATGCACTCGTGGAATGAATGACTCATTGATAATTTATCTTTCTGTGAATTTGTGTGAAATGTGTTTGAACCTAAGATAAACACTAGTTTCCCCAAAATTAATTGTACACCCAACTTGAGAGTAGCTAATGGCGTGAAAGCTAAGTTCAGTGAGAGCTATCGACTACGTTTGAAGGCCAATTAATAGATAGTTTTGAACATATAGGTGAAGATAGAGAGTCTTGAATTTATTTACCAATTTAGAGAATGAGGCGCTTCATACGTATGGTATGTTAATATATAGCCACTCTGCTTTAACAAAGGCCTCCAGCCCGTCAACTAAGTCACAATGAAAAACGTTACCCGCACAACACATAAATCATATGCCGCGGTGGCATACATGTGGTAATATCTTGGATATATTTCAAAGAGTAATTTATACTTCAGAAATATAGACTCGGTTTAGATAAAGCACTACCATTTATAGAGCAGCAGGCATTTCATCGTTTAGTAAGCGCGTATCGGCATTCTCCACGCTGTTTAATTGGACTGAAGTCACCATCTGCCACCTCATGGGTATATTTGCCAGATAAAACTGTCATAGGTCGTTAAACAAACCGACTTCTTTTGATGGAACTATGGTGCTTGCGTTTTTATGACAATGAAGCAGCGGATACACTGTTATACTTTATTCAAAAAACTAAGTGAGAATAGGTGACTTCAGGGAATATTTGGCTAATTTATGTTAAGTTACCAACCAGATACTAGATTGACTGATAGCCTACAAACATTTAACAACTGATGATTTCGTAACCTGATGGTACCATCAATGTAAAACTGAAAAAACTGATATATTAGGGCAGTTCACCGTCAATAAATATGTTTTAGTGAATACGTACTTGAATTCCGTTTCATTAATTCTTCTAAGATATTTCCAACAATGAAATTATGCAGAAATAATTCTTCATAATTAATCGTTTCGTGTTCACACACCCATACCCTGAAATGTTTCTGCCTATTATATATGGCAAAAAACATTAAGGACAATAAAGAATGTTTCAGGTCTTTCTAAATGAAAAACTGGCTCAAAAAACACCCTGAATATAATGTCAAGGGTTATTCGCATAAAACTAAAAGCATTACCTTGTGCGAGTCTCAGATATTTACTTTGACGGGCCAGCAAAATTCAGTGGTCATTTCTATTTTTCCAGTTATAAGAAGTAAATGTACATATAGGCTGTTATGAAATAAATAAAGTCTACGCCTTGTAACATCTAGACAAACTTGGTTCGTGGCAAACCAAATTATAACATGGGATTTAATAATGTTAGATCTCGGTCAGTTGAAAGCCTGTTCCACACAGATTGTTTTGTACTATTCTAATAAACTTATGCCTTCGTTCTCCCCCAACTACTTTTGCCTATTTTACCCCATAAATATTTTAACATAGAATAATTGAAAGAATACCAAAGCGTTTCTCTATTATGACTCGTTATTTTAAGACAATGCTTTGATCATTTTAACAGCTATATGTTGTGAGTGAAATTAGCCATACAATATTTGATTTTTCTTCATAAACAATCAGCTTTTAGTTTATTCTAGTAGATTGCTAAATAATTCGAAATATAATGTTTAAGGGCTACATGGATATACATGAATGAGGTTTTGTTCAAAGTTAGCTTTTGGTCACGTATAGTACTCTTACCAAACAAAACCTGATAAAAATGCTGTTGTGTGAACTATGCATTCTTTAAGGATAGTGCATTCATCTATACATTACTTCTGAGTGATAGTTAGGTAGATGATCACCACGTTGAGTGGTGCTGCTCTGAAGTATTTAGCTGGTGTTTAATTAATGTAGTTACTTATGTGCAACAATACAGGTGAATTTATCGTGGAGTACTAATTAGTTTTAATTTTTACACGTTAGCTAACTATTAAGCTCTCTCAAAACTTTCAATAAATGTTCCTTCATACGCACAATGTTTGCTGTAAACTACTCTCCCGATTAATCGCTAAATGAGTGCAGAAATAAGTCTACCTATAGTTATCAACTATTACTTACCAAAACAGGAAACATACAAAATAAATTTGTCTGTAGTTTTATCCAACTCATGAACCGATTTTAGCTGGATGACTGTTAAGAACTGGAAGCACTGGACGCTTGCACTGTTCTAGAATGAGACTGCCCAAAAGTTCTCATCCATTCGCATCCTATTTATAAAGAAAGCATTTGTGGATTTTAGAAACAGATAGTTGCTTTTGTTTATCTGTAGCTGTTATGTTTTACGGCGTTACTCTTAAGAAATATTTTATTTAGCTAGGGTGATCAGCAAGAGAAACTCATACATAATTTTGCTGATGTACAAAAATTACTGTCAGACATTTATTAGTCCCTGTTTATCTTTGTATAAAATTTTTATTTTGGTCTGTAACTCTTTGCGATCCATTTGACACCTAAAGCGTTCAGATTCACGAAAACATATTACTGACCATAACTTCGGGCAGGTGTCTCAACTAGGATTTGTAGAGAACCATGTCGTTATAAAACATTTTTTAGGGAGATGATAGATTTACTTTGATGAAGCTTACGTCGCGGTTAAGTTATTTTCTGCATTATGTATTCTACAAAAAATCATGACTTCTTGTTCAATTTAGGAATAACACCTCTGTTGTCTGAAAAGCGAAAATAGAAAACAGGTTGTCGCATAACATAAACCTGATTACTATGAAAACTTTGCCGAAGTTTCATAGACATTTATCAACTCAATATAACAAAGGTTTTAAAGAACACATTTTACTTACAATTGTATTTGCTTATTACCTGTACGACCGGTAATAAGGGACAACAGACCTGGTAAGACCAGGTTTAGATACACACATAATGTTTATTGTGCCATGGCCAATATTCAGGTTCGGAATTCTAGGCTAGGTAGGATGTCAAGTTTAAAAGAAATCGCAACTTATTAGGTTATTGGCGCACTCGAATAAAAATCATTACCACAGGTGTCATGGATTAAGGATTATGAGTCGCGTATCCAAAAGTCCAAGGAAAAGGACGTGAACACTAACTAAATTCCAATTGTGATTTATCCGTTGAATAATTTTCTTTGGTGTCATTTTATTTTGAAATTTTCAACTAAACACATTTCACAAAACTGGATATTTATCCTGACCTTATCCGTCTTTAGGTGTACTTGAGTTGATTAAAGTAATGAACTAGTCAACAATTTATTACAAAATCTATCATGATCTTCATATTTTGTGAACACATATAGGAAAAATATTAGTTTAAAGACCTGAAGTTTCTCGGAGGTTTTAAAACATTATATTATTGTAACAAGACCCAGATAGATTTTTAAGTCTTCTGAAGAACAAATAACAAAACAGTTTCTGTTCAATATTCCTCTGGGATGCCAAAAATATAGTTATACTAGCAGATAATGTCTAGAAAACTGTGGGCTTGAAAATACCCGTTACACTTCTTTTTCTCATAATATTTATTAAACGTTTCATACAAATAAGTTTATTTTGTTTACAGTTTCATGCTTCATTTTATTACTGAAGTAAAAGGAAATATTTATTTAATTTATTTATGACTGAACTGCTGCGAGTCATGAGATCAACTTTCAGTCTAGTCTACATCGTTTCACCATTTTAAGGTGACCAAGTTATTTCGGATTCTTATTTTATTGTTCGAATAAAAGCTATATGCATTTCTATAAGTTTATTTGGTTGAAATGTTCATTGTAACCTCTAGGCTACTGTACGACTCATATGTCTATATTAGTCGAAGTAGAGTAGTGGTAATCAAGTCAAAGTATTCCCATACTTTAGTTAAAATGAACGATTAGAATAAGGAAATTTCTTTTCAATTAATTTCTCATCATAAATATATACAACGGCTATAAAATAATATTCAATAACTGAAATAAAGATTACAATTATCAAAGTAATTATTCGGAAAATTAAATAGTTACTGTATAGCAGAACAAATAAAAAGTACCACCAAAGCAGTTTGATGAATGGTTAGTAGTTATGTAAGAACCAAGAGACGGACTTTAAGAATATATTAAAATACAAAAGTGGAAGAAATGAGAGAAATTTCTGAATATTTTGAATGAAAAGGTTTGATCAAATTTCAGATAAAACTCACTTCTATACCGACAGTCAACGTAGTGAGAGTGGTTGTAAAAACTTCTTTTAAATGCAAAAGTTAGGTTTGTTAACGTGAATTCCGACAGCTTCAGTCATTTGTAGCAAACTCGTAAACTGTGTGGTAAAGTTGATGGAATATGGTGGACAAAATTAAAAGTTTTATTCAAGTCGTGACATGTATAGTTTCCATCAAGTGAGCAAGAATAGATCTCTTGATAACTCTTACCTGTCTCCTGCTCAGTCAAGACGGATGACGTTTCGCTGTGTGATAGGCAGTTGAATTTGCAAATACACTTTGATTATTATGATACTCTTTCTTTCAATTACTTAATATGGATTTATGATCACTGTGGCATTATATAAGCAATGCAACTACACGATGAATATTCCACTGTTGCAAATCATATATATAAGTGTAGAATCATGATGAAAAACTAGTTGAAAAGAAGTTTCTTCGTTCATGTTTAATAAATATCAAAATAAGAATTTCCGGTTTACTCATCATTGACGATATATCTGAATATTAAACTAAGGAGTATTAAAAATATCTAAGTTGATAGATATATGACATACTTGTACAATGATTATAAGATGTGAACGAGGTAAAATACGAGTGGGCTGCATAAAATATACTTGATTTTTAAATCCGTCGATTGCATTGTTCCA